CATTGGAGTTTCACCACCCTAGTGATATGAAAAATATATTTCACGACTACTGCATGTCACCGCGAATATCATCGCGTTTTTCACAGAGTTTTACGCCACTTCACGTAAAACGGTGAAACTCGGTAAACCAATACAATGTAGAAAATTAGAGCAGGAAGAAGTGATTCATTTAGCATTGAGAAATTACATTCCCCCCAGGGTTTGATAACAATGGGGAAAATGTTACTAATGTGATGACTTCATTTACTGATTGAAGAATGTGCTCCTAGCCATACGTGGAAAATTCAAAATGAGTCCCCCCCGAGAACATTATAGGTTTCTGGATGATTCTCTGTGATAATTTAGTCGTGTATTTCTTGCTACTAAGGTGTGATGTGCCACTGTTATAACACAAGTATTGTCCCTTATCTATGTGTCCCCGTTATTGCTCAGCTCACACAATTAGCTATAGTCTCGTCGATAATAACAGTTTGTCTTATGATAAGAGTAGGAATAATATCAGAGGGTAGATAAGAGTCTTATCTACCCTCTGATATTACCCCGTTGGGTTCTGAAGTATCACATAAGGATCGTATCGCTCTACGAAATCGAGGACTGTGTCCACTGATGAGTCGAACCTCCGCGATAGAAGTCCATAGACTTCTACTGCTGTAAGACCCTCTTATGAAGGTAACAGTGTTTGTATAGACTCTTTAGCATCATGGTGATTCACCGTAGACGACTACTTGCATCGAGAAAGAGGCGCAGATTCGAATGGGGTAATTTGAAAGTATCATAAACTGATCACTATTCCGCTAACGATGAGGAGGCGGAGCGATGATGTTTTTACACTCTTTAGCATTATGCAAGATCGACCTGGTAAATTATACGAGTCGCAAGTGAAACGTTGAGCGTCAACAGCAGCCTTAACCAGTCTAACAAATAAACAGAGCCCGCAGAGAGACGGGCGGAACAATGGCACATAGTGATAGCTGTATTACAGTGTCAAGGATTTCCGCCACAACACAAGCTGTTCAACAATGGGTAGAGGATCTATACCAGGATGTTGCAATGCAGATGTTCTCTTGAAGGACTAGGGGAACGCAAGATTCAGATGAGCTGCTGACGATATGGTAGATACAGCTCGAATAACTGTTGTACAGCTATAAAGTCTGTTAAGGTGTCAGCTATAGATTATACAAAGACGAGCAAGAGAGCAAGAGAGCAAGATATCAAGTCAACTATGAATACTTATCAACAAGGACTTGGGTCTGCGTGCGAAAGTAGCACGCAGACGCACATCAAACGATTATTTGGAAAATTGTAACTTTCTGGAAGGATTCCCATAAGATTAACTTCAATTTCGACATGACGTTGTTTTAGTGAGATCAATTTCGTATATAGGAACTCCCGAAGGAGTAGTCCATAAATATTTCATCTATGGATATGTTGATGTTATTGTATTATCCTTATGAGGTTATCAATGTGCATTTACCTGATATAATTTTAGTGGTCATATTCGGAATCCTACCCTGACTCGATTTTATCGCTCATAATTTAACAGGATTGTGTTTAAGGGCAAAGGGGAGCTAACTTGTTCATTGCCAATATAATAAGGGGAAAGTTAGTGAGTGTAAGTCTTGTTCTTGTTCTCTGCTAACAACTCAAGTCTTCGTAAGATGGTGTAAGGTAGGCTAGGCTAGTAGTATTGGTGACGACTGATGACACGTTCACAGCAGAGTGAACAAGAAAGGGATCAACAAAGTTTTGTCATGAGAGCTCGGCGTGACCTCGCTCTTTAGCTATGGCACGGCGGAGCGAAGTAAAGCACGTTTCGCAACTTTCCCACTTCCATCTCGGAGATGGAACACTCCGGGGGCGCGACATGACCTACCTACAAAGTACCGAAGAGCGGAGACGAAAGGCATTGTTCAAACTGACTGACCAAGTAGGGATTGGACTTCGGGTGGCCGCCAATCTTATAGACGCACTGATTGTTCGGAAGTCATCAATGCTCGACTCAGCAGTATGCTAGGAGAAGGAGTACCGACCGATATCGTAGTACTGGATATCGTCGAAGGGTGAGAGAGAGCAGCTCGATCATGCAACATTCATGAGAGCTAACGAGTGTCGACTGGCCGTGACGCATTACCCCTCTCAAGAGTAGCGACCTTCGCGTGTGAGAATGATAGGCACCGAGTGCTGACCAACGCGGACAGAAGCACGAAGGCGCGGGAGAGGATCCTGCTCAAGTCACCAGTCACACCCCGACAGAAAGGTGATAATGACGAACCCTCCTGTTGGCGGGTAGTCCCGACTTGCGCACCGCTGGCAACCCGGAGGTACCAGTAAACATCCCGGAGGGTAATGGTGGCACAAGGTGGACTGAGGCTCTCTCGAAAGACAAACCTTCTCAGGTGAAATAGATGCTCGTGGAGAACGAAGTACACATAGCATTTACCGTAGTGGGTGGCGATCAGCCAGATCGTCGAACGCCATCGTCCTGTCTCCGATGCTCTATAAATAGAAAATGTCGCTTACCAGAGGCACACCCGTCAAAGGAGAGTACTAATTGCTACTACGCACACTTCGACCGACAGCCAAAAAGACGAAAATGACATGGACAGCCTACCAAATGAGTAATCAACGGGATAATTGACTGAATGAGTATGGATCTACTGACTGATAACTAATAAGTGATTACGGGCGTCATACAATCGGGACTCGGTATCTCTCGTCATCGGTAACCTAACTCTGTAACAGCACAGCGTCGGCATGCTATCGAAAAACCCATTATTGCGAGTCACAGAAAGAGTCTTTCCATCATTTAATAATTCTCCAGCACTATTAGCTTCCGATAAATTCCAAACGTCCGAGTGCTGGTCACGTGATGAGACGCGCCAAAAGCTAGTGGTTGGGCGTCCGTCGATGTTACATAAAATCACGACGGTTGAGTCGATAGTAAGATTATCAGGTGAGCATACAGGTAAAGTAGATAATTTTTCGATAAGATTTTTCATACGAAGAGAACCGTCAGCGATCTCACTTTGCTGCAATTCTCGAGTCACAGCAATCGCCGGTAGATCCGGGAAACTACCGTCCCGATCATAGGATTTTTTACATTCAAGAAGAACATTTTTATTTGGGGGATCATTCTTAGCCAGCACGATATTTCCAATATACTCATCCGATACTCTATGAGAAGAATCAACAATGCGTATCACACTACCGCGAACAGATACGACAATGGCACATTCAGAGGCGGGCTGCTTAGGTCTCAGAATGCGAACAAAATCCCCTACACGGATAACTTCTGTAGTCTTAGTTCTCCTGGTAAGATTGCTACGCGCCTTATCGCGCAGGTCGCACCACAGAGCAATATACTCCTTCATGGTAACATCTCTGGTGATTCGACGTGAGTCATTCATCTGTTGAAGTAGTGCAGTCCAACTGGGAATATCTATCAGGTGATCTATACCTAGCTGGGCTAACTCCTCGTCGTCAGTGGTCAACTCAGCTCCGGGGATGCGTGGTGGTATACCGTAGACCATCATATATGGCGATAACACGCTGTTGCTGCTATAGCTCGCAGCGTTCCACGCATACACCGCTCGGGGGAGTCTCGTCATCCAGTTATTGTCTCCGACCAACGACGGATCCTCCTTGTCGAGAAGCATGGGTCTGAGATGGTCTCGTAGGCCCTTATGAGGCCGTTCGACCCATCCTGCCAGGCTTGATGATGCCACTGGAAAGTACTTCAGACGGATCTGTCTCTTAGCTGCCCAGCTCCGGAACGTGTCGGCAGCTATAAAGTTGGATCCT